GTCCCTTACCTGAGTGGCAGCAGCATCTAAGTCATCAATTGGCACATAGGCCCGTGAGTCTCCGACCCCTGCGCCCTGCTGTCACCAGTCACCTTCTCAGCTGACTCAGCCTCCCTGGGCTCCCCTCTGCAGCCCCCAAATGTCAAATCCTCCTCTCCTTCAGTCTGGACACCACTGCAGTCTCTGGTGCCCATGTCTTCAGTCTCACCTCCTTTATGTATATCATGCTGGTAGCATGATCTTTCAAGATACCAAATTTGATCTCTTTCCTATTCAAAGGCCACTTTACTATGACTGCATCATTTCATCTGCCAGTGCTACCACATCAGAAGACACACACACACACACACACACAAACACACAAACCCCACTACCACACCCACCTCCTCCCCCACGGACCACCACCATCACCTTTGTCCAAGCCAGTGGTGATGTGTTTTCACTCATAATGCTGCCTCTACCTGGAAACACCATTCCCATCCTGACCCTTCATCTTCTAAGACACATGTCCCAAGACACACAGGTTAGCCTTCCAGACCCCTCTCTCGCGCGGACAGTGTTAATAAACTACCTAAGTCTGTCTTTATCCTTCCCTTACACCACTGACAAATATGATACTCACACAACAGCCTTACAGTAGATTATTACATTCACTACTTTGCAAAATGTAGTTGACTTAGACTATGAAGCATTTTGTATGAGCCATTTTCCCGTCCATAAAATGAGAATAACAATAACCTACCACATAGGCCCATGTGAGAATTAAAAGGATTAACACAGCGAAGTGCATCAGTTGGTTTCCATTACATGGTGAATGCTTGGCATGAGTTAGAGGCACAATAATCCTTCAGAACCATCACAGGCTCTGTTACCTGAAGTTCCTGATTTTCTCTGCAGTAAAACTCCCTCAGAAATTCAGTGGAATTCCAAAATATTTGCTTCCAGACAGCTCCATGAGGCCCCAGCTTCCTCAGCGAAGCTCCCAGATCTCTCTTTCTCTCATTTCCACTGCCCCATCCCGTACTTGCAACTCAAAGACACCTGAGGCTCTCAGGCTTTGGTGGAAAGGCCACAGCTGTAATCTACTCTTTCTGATATTTAAGAAGAATTACAGACATTTAAAAATCTCATTTTTTAAATCTATGGATTCAAAGTAATCAGTTTTTCCCACATGGAGAAATCCTAATCTCTCTTTATTCCCTTTTAATTCTGTTTGCAAATAAGCTGGTCTTTCCAGAGCTCACCTCTTACATGTAACCTGTCATCAAGACCATCTCACATTGGCCCACGCAAGTCATATGGTCCTGCTTAAATGTAAGAGGGCTGGGATATGTTGGGGACACACGAATATTCAATGAGTCACACAAACTGCTGCCAAATAACTCCAAAATGTTCCCATCAACTTAGACCTGCTGCAGCCGAGGTTGAGTGGGCTCCACACCCCGGCAGATACTTAGACTTACAGGCTCATCGTTCTTCTCCCCACACGTCGGCACAGCAAACTCTAAGCTCCCTAAAGACTGGAACTCTGTGCCCCCAGCTAGCTCACTGTCTGAAGCAACTTGAATGTTGATTTAAAGAATGTCGCATGAATGAAAGAATGTCCATAGGATTACTTTGGTATCTTAAGAGGAAAAAATTAACAGTCTCAGGAACACACATATCAAAGCACCTGCTGCAAAACTAAGACTGATGGAGCTTCCTCACAACCCACCTACAATCTTTTGAAGACAGTGCTTTTGTGACATTAGCCAAAATGATGACAAATAAAAAAAAAAAGGATTTTCAGCCTCCTCAGCCCCACCATAAATGCACTCAGAACACAATGCCTTGGCCCTCTTAGTACAGAATAGCACATACCTTTCACCTCCGTATCCAGCTCTTTACTTTCAAATCGGAGACTCCCTGAATCTCTTGAGTAAATGGATGTCTCTTGTTTGACAAGCAAATAAATTCTGCTTTGTTTGTTTGATTTTAGTTCTGGTGGTCTTTACATCACTGTTTGAGAATGAACAAATGTATTTTCCTTGCTCTCTCTTATTCATGAATGTAAAGGACACAGCATGATTTGGTGGCACGAGTTTAGAAATTGGGTCAGCCAAACCTGGGCTCAGATCCCAGCTCTGTCATTTACAAGGTAGTTGAAGCAAATCAATTCACCCTTCACATTTCAGGTCTCTCCCTGTACAATGAAAACAAGATATCTACTTACCAGGATTCTGGTGGACATGGGAAAGCAATGGAACACAGAGAACTCCATTAACAAAGTCAAGGCGATTTCTACATATGGCAAAAATTCGGAGTAACTTCCACCACTGTGTTTCTAAAAACAGAGTGGCCACGCCCCAGAAAGAGCTGTTGGACCTTAGAGAGAAGTGTGATGGACACGCCCCCCAACAGTGACGCTGGTCCACAGAGGACAGCTGTGCCTCTTTCTGTCTCTCTCACCTCAAACTCTGTTATTCCAAATTACAACTGAATCTCTCAGCTTCACACTCGTCACTTACTTTGGATCTTCAGAATAGCACTGTACACAGTTGTCCAAGGAGTCAATCATGCATTTACTCTAGATGCTCACAGCAGATAACAGGTAAAGGAGGCATTTACAAAAAGAAATTTCAAGTTGAACAGTTGCCATGAGGATCATAATCGGCTGGGACACACACATGCTAGTGTTGTGACCTCTGCACAGCTCTGCATTAGTTCCTGTCACTAAAGATAGTTTAATTACATGGATATTAATTATATCACTATTCTATTTTATTAAATGCATATGTATAAACTTAGGCTGGCAAATAAACAAATTGGTCTGTTTTGCAGTGGTGTGGAATTACTTATTCTTATCAAATAATCAAACCATTTTCTACAGTGGAAAGTTATTTTTTTGAAAAGCAGAACATATTTTATGCAATATGAATATGCATACCACAGTGAAAATGAATCCTGTGTGTGTGGATTTATTTCAGTACCTTGAGTAGGATACAAATACCACATTAATTTTATTAAGAGTTAAAACTAACAAAATGAAATGTCTTTATTAATTTAAGTAAACATCCATACTATGTACATGGAATTGTGAATTTTCATCAGTCTCTTCTCCTGTCTCTTGAGATGTATTTTCTGGTTCTTCTAATATTACAAATTTCTCAATAAATTTCGAAATGTCCCTTAAAATAAATAAAATCATACACAATATATTAGGATGAATACATTAATCATGAAAGAAAATTTTACAATAAACTTCTGTTTTAGGACACATTTACCTAAAAGAGGTAAGATGAGATTTGCAACCATCTACTTTTGTTTTAAAGGATATTTCCAGAGTCTTGGCCATGAATACAAGAAAGAGTCTCTGAATGTCTAGAAGAAACCCTGAGGAATTCTCAGACCAAGGACAGTGTGACAGCAGAGTTAACACGAACAGAATATTTTAAACTTCAGGTCCACTCACTCTCACTGTCAAGACTGTGGGAGGTGCTTTCTCTATTTTGTATCCAAAAGTTCGTTTTCTTTTTTTGAGGACACATAGGATGACATAAGAAACCACAGACCCCACCTGTGTGCTCCCCCAGCACCTGCTGCAATCACTGCCTTCCATGACTTCCTCCACGGCCTACACTGGGAAGCCAGGTTTCATGTTTCCCGGCATCCTTGCAGCTAAGAATGGCCTTGACATATGGTGCTGGCCAGTGAGATGTGAATGACACTTGGACAGGACAGTCCTTCTCAATAAAACTGAAAAGCCTCATGAAGAGAAGCTCTTTCCCGTCTGTCCTTCCCCTTCCCCTTTCTTACTGCAGGGAACATGAACCTGACGCCTGACCACAGCCAGGCCAAGACCCTGAGCAGGAAAGCCAGGTGCACGGGAAAGGGAAGGAGGAAGAGGAGCCTGGCTCCCCGGGGTATCACTGAACCTCAGCCACCTACACCTACAAGTCTGTCTGCTGTGGATCCAGACAAGCGCTTCCATATTTAAACCACCATATGGTTTTCCATTGTTCCCAACAATACCAAATTCTGAGCATTGAACTGTAGTACCAACTCTAAGCAAAGTAACTTTGTAAAGTATAAATTTACATAAAAAATAATATGTATCAACCACTTTTTTAACTGAAAACATTCAGAATAATATATGTATAGGGTTTTTCAATGATTTAACATCACTAAAAGCCATATATTGATAATTTGAGGGAAAAAAGCCATTCATACCATACACCTCCTCACTTTCCCGATTCTCACCAGTGAGAATTCACTCTCAACTTCTAGAGGTTTTTCCAATGAATTTATTTCTTTATTACTACACAGTATATACAGATTGAGATTTAAACTTTGGATTGAGCGTTCTTCGGCATGGAATAGGGTGCAACATGAATATGTAAAAGACGTTTTATCAAAAAGACATATACACTCATTTATAGCAGCACATTCACAATTATAAAGATGCAGAAACAGCCCAAGTGCCTGACCACATGTGAGTGAATTAATAAAATGTGGTGTACGTACATCACAGAATACTCCTCAGCCATAAAAATGATGGTCTGGTATCTTTCATAACAACCTAGATGGAATTGGAGACTATTCTTCTGAGAAAAGTATTGCAAGAGTGGAAAATAAAACACCATGTGGACTCAACACTAAATTGGAACTACTCAACCAACACTAATGTGCACATAGGAAAGAAAAATCCAATGGAATTCAGGTAGGAAGGAGGGGGAGGAGGGGATGGGTAAATTCACACCTACAGGAACAACATACACTTTCTGGCTAAAGGGCACACTTACAACTTTGACTCAAAATATACAAAAGCAAATTACACAACCCAAACAAATGTACTCCAGTACCATTCTGAAATTTAAAAAACAATGAAGATAACATTCATGAGTGTGAACACTTCAAGGGTCTGTCTAGTCTAAACTAGACTTTAACTGAACAAATGGGCTTAGGAATAGCCTGATATCTTTTTAGCTATTTCATCATAATATTAATACTTACTGTTGTACCTACCTATTGGTTTTTTTCACGACATAATTCACATGGTTTTCAATAACCTACAAAGAATTAACAACAATTTGGTCACATATAGGCTTGGCACCCATAGCACAGTGGTTACAGCACCAGATACACAAAGGCTGGCAGGTTCAAACCTGCCCCTGAACAGCTAAACAACAAGGACAACTGCAACAAAAAAATAGCCAAGCATTGTGGGGGGCACCTGGAGTCCCAAGTAAGGCAAGAGAATCACTTAAGCCCAAGAGTTTGAGGTTGCTGTTAGTTGTGATGCCACAGCACTCTACCCAAGGGCAACATAGTAAGTCCAAAAAAAAGAAAAATATTTGGTCACATATCATGGCATGACAATGCTCATGTACAATGCCAACAGTATTGAATCCAAACAGATTGCCACTTCTAGAACTAAGTATAAACATACTAATTCATACTATATGTAACAAGGAACTATACATATATAATAGCAGTAGAAAGTAGAACTATAAACTGTTAAGCAAGAAATTCTTAGAATGTATTTTGAGAGAATATTTCAAAAGCTATTAAGAAGGCCAGTTCATTATATTTTTTGTAAACAAATAAACCCACTATATTAAATTGTAATGTCCAGAAGGGTTAGAGAATGGTTGGCTCTAATGGCACATTCAACCATATGTTCCTTCTGGAAAGACATCTGGAGAACACTTAGAGAACTAAAAATAAACCTGCCATTTGATCCTATTATTCCTCTATTAGGTATATATCCAGAAGACCAAAAATCACACTACAATAAAGACATTGGTATCAAATGTTCATTGCAGCCCAATTAATAATTGCTAGGTCATGGAAGAAGCCCAAGAGCCCATCAATCCACAAATGGATCAATAAACTGTGGTATACGTACACTATGGAATACTATGCAACCATTAAGAGAGATGGAGACTTTACCTCCTTTGTGTTTACATGGATGGAGCTGGAAAATATTCTTCTTAGCAAAGTATCCCAAGAATGGAAGAAAAAGTATCCAATGTACTCAGCCCTACTATGAAACTAATTTAAAGCTTTCATAGGAAAGCTATAACCCAATTTTAGCCCAGGAATATGGAGAGAGGGGAGAGGGAGTGGAGGAGAAGGAGTGGATGAGTGGAGGGAGGGCGATTGGTGGGATCGTGCCTATGGTTCATCCTATAAGGGTACATGTGAATCTCTCTAAATGTAGAATATAAATGTCTTAACACAATAACTAAGAAAAAGACATGAAGGCTGTGTTAACCAGTTGGATGAAAGTACTTCAAATTGTATATAGAAACAGTACACTGTACCCCGATAGTATTAATGTACACTGCTATGATTTAATTAAAAAAAAAACTGAATTCTTACTGTTTTTATTAATTTCTTAGCTTACACCTGTCTGGTTTTCAGCTAAAGTCTGCTTAGTCAGATATTTCTAGCATTATACAAAGTTATCATCTAGAAAAAGACTGCATATATTCATATTTGGTTTATGGCACAGGGAAAGTAGGCACTAGAGGAAATATTTTTATAGATGACCACCAAACCACAAAAAACTTACTGTTAGTTTCTTCATTAAAATTCTATTTGCTGTTTCAAATTTCACAGCTTCATTCTGAATGGGAATGGTTTTAAAAGTAAGATAATTGGTTAAGAGTATTTGTTAACTATTTTTCTATACTTATAGGACAAAAGTATTATGTAAATTCTGCTATTACAATTTTAAGGGAACTCAATAGCCTATGATTTTAAAAGAGATTAATAAACAGATCATACAATGAAGGAAAGTTAGTAAGAAAGATCTCGGCTCTGTAGGTCAAAAACTGGAAGAAGTGATAGCTGAAAAAAATAGAAAATGAAGAGCTCTGTACTTTTCAGAACTAATAAGAGAATTTGTCAAGGTGGCTAGAAACAATATAAAAATACAAATATCAGTGACTCACGTATATACCAGCAATAAGGGTTATAAACTGCAATTTTAAAAAGTCTGAATTTCCATTTAGAACAGTTACCAAGACCATAAAGTCATAAAAATGCATAACTAAATTATGTAAGACCAAAGCATAAAAATAAATAAAATATAAAATGATCTTAGAAGATAGCATAAATATTGTAAAGCTGTCACTTCCTCCCAAATGAATGTATAAGTCCATTGTAAGTATAATCAAAATACCAAGAGTATTATTAAGGGAACTTGAAAAATTGACAGTGTGAATGAGAATATTTAAGATTATTGTAAACAAAGTAATGATGGGTAAGTGGCATTAAAAACTTGCTCTTTCTGATATCAAATATATTGAAAAAGGATTAGCCATTATAACAGGCTGCCTAGTGAAAAATTAAAAAGTTAGGCTGAGTTTGAATGCTAACTCTACCTTGCTAACTTTAACCTCAATCAAGTTACTTAGCCTATTTCATTTCCTTGCAAGATAAATTTAAAATTTTAATAATGTTGGCTATTGTTTATGGTTATTGAGAATTCAATTAAATAGTATTTTTAAAATATTCATAGAAGTGTCTGGTACACTGTTAATCCTCAATACATTAGCTTTTTTCTACTTAGTTAATAATGGCCTATGTCAAGTCCAGAACAAGTAGCCAATTATATAATAGAATAATAAATGCAATTGTATTGTCTTTCTAGTATTTTAATTAAGTAGCCAAATATAGTATTAACTAATTAAATATAAATTGGTGCTATGGACTCTTCATAAGGAATCGTCTATCCCTCTTTAAAGAAGTTTGAATTGTGAAAGAAGAGTTTTGCATGACTTTTGAATTACATCATGCTCACAATATTTAAAGTTATAAACTATTACTTTTACTGTTTAAAATTCAACTATAAATTAATGTTTTTCTCAAGATATTTATTTAGTATAAAAAGCAAGAAAGAAAAGAGCAAATGATACAAAAAATACACAGAAGGAAATATAAAAATATTATTTTAAAAGAGAGAGAAAATGAAAAAAAAAAAAAAACTTTGGACTACCACTATCCTTCTATGAACATTATAATTCTACTTTTAGACAGCATTGCTAAAAATATATGCAACTATATAACCACAGGAAGAAAGAATCAGCACATATCACTTATAAACTCTCTAACTAGAGTGTGAGTCAGGTTTCATGAGGTTATTCACAAATAAAAATCAGGTTTTGACCATGAACAGAATTCTAAACAAGTTTTTGTCACCTTCATTTTTACTTTTAGATAGATGTTCTTATTTTTATAGTTATTTACTGCAAGCAATTTGAAATAAAAATATATGTGGACCAAATTTTATGTTCCCCTTTATCCTACTACAAAACATTATTTCATGTGTTTTTCAAGGTCTTTAAACAAAAGAACAATGTAAACAGCTGAATAGATTGCATACCTCTATGCTTTTAATCCTGTTCTCAGTGATATCAGAAATTGCTCTATGAACCAAAGTTGTTTTAATTTCTTTTTCAAGAGCTTGTATTTCATCCCACTTGTCGAGTATTTCACACCTCTTCTTTTTAACCTTCTCAATAAGAGTAAGGTGGTCCTCAACATTTGCGTCTTTCCCAGATGATTCTGGAAATATTTTTAAAGCAAAATATTATTATGCTTAATATCTCATCTTTCATTAATGACACTGTATATTATAATAATACTATATATGTGACTCTATATGTAATGATAAAGTATAATGTAACTAAAGGTCCGAGCATGCCAATAAAAATAATCTAAAGATGGGCGTATTCATCCTTTAATGCATTCATATAATCCAGTCATTTTTAACCTGTGTACTGCAGCACCCTGGTGTGCTGGGATCTTAGCTAAGTGTGCCATGAAAACTTTTAAAGATCATTAATTAAATTATTTTCAAAAGAAGTTCAAAGCACAGTAAGTATGTTATTTTTTATTCTTTTTTTTTTTTTGAACAACATAATTTAAGTGTGCTGCGGAGTTTACCTATAGGTTCAAGTGTGCCATGAGATAAAAAAAAGGTTGAAAACACTGACGTAATCAATGAGTATTTGTAGAACACATACTTTGTGCAGACACAGGGCCAGGTGGAAAAGGTCAACGGTGAATTATAAACCAAGGCCTTTTCCAGTATTTGCATTTTAGTGGTGCAGACCAGCAAGAAGCTACCCAAAGTGATGGTAAGGGAGGAGAAGGGGCAGTGGGGAAAAAGGTGAGGGCACCTCATTGTGGGGAAAGCTCAGGAGGGACTTTCCAAAGACGTGGGGCTGTGTTGAGACCTGAAGTACAGGCAGAATGGGAACCAAAGACCCCATTCTTGGCAGGGGAAAGCAAAAGGGAAAATTAAAAGGTAAGCTGAGGGAGTCGGAACAAAGAAAAGTCAGCTAGTTTACCTTTAAGCCAACCATTGCTAAATTTCTTATCTGAACAAGATTCCGGCCTTTCCTGAAACTCTGGCCTATTGGGACATAGCTTACACCAATACCCTACTGAACCTGTGAACACTCTGAAGAAGGTAATGGTCATAAAAAAGGTCATGACAAGACCTGGAGTAGACACGCCTTCTAGGTCATTTCCTGCCCATTAAACACACAAAGCAGATGCCCACTGTGGAGATTTGAATTTGGCTGGGGCCAGAGACCAAGGGAACAGCTGGAGCCCTGAGATATGGGCAGGAGGGCTTAACATCCCTTATTGCAGAGGAAAATCCTCTGCGGTGGCAATGAGAGGAAAATTCCTCTCTCCCACCGATTCCTCAAAGGAGATTAATGCCAGTGGCCTTTTACTCCACAGGCATCTAGTAGAGCTTAACAGCTCCCTAGGAATCTGTGTGTGTGATTCAGACAGGAGGCTGCCCCCACACGAGGTTCAAGTTTCAGATTTCTCAAAATTGCTCAGATCCTTAAAGTTAATAATAATAACAACAGGAGCTAATATGCGCACTCAGGGAAACTGCTGGTTTCTTTGTTCCCTCCCTCAGCTGACCACCTGGACAAAGAGATTTGAATAAAAGCTGAGTGGGACAGATGTGCTTGGGGCCACTCACCAGAGCCCACAAATGTCAGTGGCCCCCTGAGTTCCCACCTTTGAAAATTCTACTCTGTGTCTTGTGTCTCTTTCTTTATTGTCGTTCCTAACTTTATATTTCTTCAGTCGGTTGTGCCAGTTTCACAGGTCTTAGCAGACCCAGCCCCAGGGGGACCCGACACTGAAGGACTGAGAAAGTCAGACAACTGGAAGGCAGTGGGGGGAGGGGGGGAGGGTGCCAAGGACAGAATCGGGACATTAAGAAGAGATACTAGCAAGGAAATGGGGCAGATGCAGCCAGAGCTGGGGAAGCCCTTTAATCTGGGGAGAAACACAGTCAGACAATGACCGGAGAGAAAGGAGGAGAATCAGAAAGCCCTGGGCAGTTGTTGCCATCGCACAAACAAGGTGATTGGTGGTCACATCAGGATAGTGTCCCTGGCATAAAGCAGCAGAAACTCAAAGCTCAGAGCCACAGGAGCACTAGTCTAGATGACCCCAAAGACCCACAGTCCCCACCCGCAGCCACATAAGCTGCCAGGAAGCCCATGTACAGCCCAGCAGCACCCCTGCCGCTCACATGCCACGTGAGGTGCAGTATGCCGTGGGCAGAGGTGGAAAACATTTGCACAACAAGGAGCATCTCAACTGCTGCCGGCCTAGAGATACCCTGGTGTCTGTGAGAGCTTACTTCTTTAAGGTAGGGATGCAAAGGTTCTGAGACCCAGAATGGACAGTGTCCTCCTTACCATAACCTGGACACCATGGAGGACACAGCCCTACCTTTCCTACATCAGTTCCATCGTGTGCCAAGAAGACTCACCCTGCCCCTCTGAAATCTACTTTGAGACGTTTTCTTTAGGATAAACTTTGAGTCTTTCAGTGATTCCTCATGAGATCTATTCCCATATTTGTATCATTTGGGAAGTTTTCTTAGGATCTATTCCAAATGGCTTGGTCAAAACTTTACATAATTCTTTCTACATAAGATCCTGAATTAATTCATTGTTCCACTAAAGACCACAAAGCTCTCAATAAAATAATAAAACAGTGTTCACCTTGTATCTGAACATGGAGAAAGGAGATAGCAGAGGTCCTCAATGGCAGAGAAACTGGGATAAGATTCTTAACCCTGAAAAGATCAACTTTGTCCTTGTGTCTTTGAAGTACTTCATTTAAACTGGTTTGGATTAAATAAAAAAACAACTTATTTCTAAAAAACTTGATGGAAGAAAAACAAATGAATAAAATGTAATCACCTTAGTGAAAACCCCTTTCAAATAGCAGAAGGAAGTTACACAGAGGAGAGGCAGGTTTGAAGATTCTTCCCTCAAGGGTCACAGCAAAGAGTGAGTGGAAAGAACACCACACGTCACCATACGTCTCCACACATCCCCCATGTCACCACATGTAGCCACATGTCCCTACACGTCACCACATGTCAGCACACATCACCACACATCACCACACGTCACCACACGTCACTTGCCTGATTTCTCCTTAGCTGTCCTCAGCAGCTCCAGCTCGGCTTCCAACTCATCTCTGAGGCTACAGTTCATTCATAAAAAATAATGACAGGTTAGAACAAATTTTTGGTCCAGTTTTCACTGCAGTCTTTCTTTTAACTAACAAATAAAGCCCTATCTTCTTACTTTCTAACACAAAAATGTCATCTGCAGATGCTTACGAAGTGACAGCCAGGTCAGTCAAGTTAGACAAACAGAATAATATTTTCTTACCAAGGCTGCATAAACCACTAGTTAAGGGAGCTGGCTAATGTAAGGTAAATTATCTCCTATTGTGTTTACTGATATTATTTTGTGACTTGAACTGCTAAAAAGAAAAGAAGAAATAAAAAGCAAAAACCATAAAGCAGTAGCATTGTACACTCAAAGGCAAACCACACATCCAGGCCTATGGGAAGATCTTACTGGCGTTGGAATATACTTTGCAAGTTCCCTGCACATTTTGAATCCATCCATAGACACAATTTACAAATTCCAATATCTTTGAACTAAAAATAAAATAGAATGAATTTTAAAAGGAAAAAAACCTCTTAGTATCCTCTTCTTGATTCAAAGTAAACTGAATCAACCACCTTATTTCTAATAGATTTAAAGAGAGAAAAAAATCAATCTAGCAGGTGTTTGAATCAACACTGTATATACACACACACTGAAGAAAACACTGATTTGGTTAAAAAACATCAACGCCAAAAATAACTTAATGTCACTTGTCTACAAAGGGCCGAACAGTTTAAGATTTTTACACACACTAGCTCACTGTGTCACAGATTGAAAATGTGGTATTATGGCCCTCAATTTTAAGAAACTGGGAGTTCAATGGATTAATAATGATAACAGCTTTTTGAATATGTATATTCAGAAGGTTTAGTCTCTATAAATTTTTCATATGTTATACTTTAAATATTACTTGTAGTTCTGTTCTATGACTTTGTTTTCTTCCTGAGGGACGAATTTGATCTCCTTTGCCTCTTTTCTGCTTCAGCAGCTCCTTCTGACCTCTTATCTCATTTTCATTCTCTCTCTCTTTTTTTTTTTTTTTTTTTTGAGATAGTCTCACTTTGCCCCCTCGGTAGAGTGTGTGGCGTCACAGCTCACAGAACCTCCAGCTCTTGGGCTTAGGCAATTCTCTTGCCTTAGCCTCCCAAGTAGCTGGGACCACAGGTGCCCGCCATAAGGCCTGGCTATTTTTTGTTGCAGTTTGGCGGGGGCCGGGTTCAAACCCGCCACCCTCCGTATATGGGGCCAGCGGCACCCTACCCACTGAGCATAGGCACCGCCCTCATCTTCATTCTTTTATTCTTGCCCTTCTCCAAAGCCTCCTTCTTATGTTTTTTTAAAAACTATTCTTCCTTGATTATGTCGTAATTTTAGGTCTTAATTAACCTAAGATGTAACTTTGACTTTTTCAAATATTTCTTTCCTCAGTTGTCAAATCTCATTTCTTCCTTTTTTGTTGCTATAGATTCCTACACTCAGTTTGTAGATTTCTGACTCAAAGTTGTGTTCACATCCTGAAATACTTTCTTGAGAACACACAATCCAGGCTGGACGGCTGTGCTACAGCTTTCATCTTCCTCAATGAGTTACCTGTGTTTGGTACGGCAGGGATTTTCATATACTAAATTTTTCTTTCTGTGGTAGTTTGTATAGAGAAAGATTGTTTACACCTCTGCATTTCTGCAGGCGGGAGTAGTTATTATTTGGGGTAGCATGTGAGATTTAAGAGGTCTCTTTTCTGTCACTGTAGTGAGTTGTGCTTTTTTAATTGTTGATATATTGTGTTTTTATTATTGTTTTAATTGGTTTTGTTATTACTGGACATCTTGTTTGGAGGGGGAACAAAAGACCATATGCAAAAGAGTTGGGTGCACTTTGATCTTCTTGGTTTATAGGATTCTAAATCTTCCTTTCTGGCTTCTCTTTGGCTTCTTGAATATTCCAAAAGATGCTATGCTTTTGTCCAGCCTCTTCTCACTACCTGGCAGCTGCATCAGGAGCGTCCTCCTCAGTGGACCCGCACTTCCCGCAGCCAGTGCCCTGCCCCACCACCAGCTCCTCTAGCAGCCTCTGGGCTCAGGTGGTTTGGGGGCAGCTCCAGCCCTCCTGTCCTCTTGGCCCTGAACTTCTCTCACAAAGGTTCAAAGCAGAAATGTGGGAGATGGGTCACCGGCACTTGATGTCTCCTTTTCCATTTTCAGGTACTTTGAACTTGGGGTGCTTCTCTAGCGAATTCCGCCGACTTTAAGTTCCCCTGACACAGCTGCCTGAGCATCCACTTCCTGGTGATCACCTCCGACAGGATGCTGGACACACCCACTGACCCCTTGTCCTGCATGGGCTGGGCAGCTGTGCCCAGGGAAGTGACCGCTCTCACTCGCAGTTAGAACTCCCTGTGGGCTCTCTCAGGTGAAGGCCTGGCCCACTGCCCCACCCCTGCTGGCCGGTGAGTGTGTCCTGGGCCTCCTCGTTCCTGCTGACCCTGGGAAGGGTGTCATCCTCTTCTCTCCGACTTCTGTTGTTCCAAGTGCTCTGTGCCTCACCCGAGCAAGACACTCAAACCTAACTTCATCCTGGTCAGGCCTCCCCAAGAGAGGGGCTATATTGGTAGGAATAAACTGGACATAGTCAGACAAGGGCCACGGGGCACCTCCTAGTAAAACTCGGTGCCTTCTAAGAGGGACACCTGATCACAAGTTGGACACTTAGGCATCAGGTCTACAGCCCAGGTCCGGGATAAAAAGTGTCCCATGAAAGGCACACTATAAACAGCCACCACCAAGTCACCTGGAGTCCGGCCAGGACACGGTGAGAGTGTGAAGCTGCCCTCGGTGGAGACCTCAAGGCCAAAGCAGAGCAAAACACAGCAGGGCTTTCTGACTTCAAGTTACACTGAAGGCAATCCTGGTTTTTGGTTTTGTTTCTTGCTTTGTTTTCTTGAGGCTTTAAGAAAATTAAAGCCTTTAATTTAAAAAGTCTAAATTAATTAAAGTCTTATTAATATTTTTCTGTTTATTTTCTAATATGTATACGTGTAGCAGATTAGCTTTATTTAAAACAATTTCTCACAAACAATATGTCCTGTTCAATTGTTATTTGACCCAAGAAGACCGAACACTTGCATTACGGTCTCACCCTGTCACCGTGGGTCATAACTCATGGCAACCTCAAACTCCTAGGCTCAAGTGATCTGCTTGCTCAGCCTCCCAAAAATAATAAGGGTATTTATATAAGGCATCTTGAATCTGCAGCCCTCTCACCTATCAACATGTCTTCAGGGGGGCACCAAAGAAGAAAGGAGATCAGCCCCCAAATTCCACCCAGAGAAACACTGTATTTCCGCAGAGATGCCAGATGCCAGGAGTAGTATTGGGAAAGGTTGCACACCACACCCAACAGTGCAGAACAGAACACAGTTCTGTGCTCGTCACATCATTTTAAGGGGCTGTTAAACAAATATACTCCAGTCTGGGCACAGTGGCTCACACTTACAATCTCAGCACTCTGGGAGGCCAAGGCCAGTGGACAACTTGATCTAAGGAGTTCAAGACCAGACTGAGCAAAAATGAGACCCCGTCTCTACCAAAAAGAGAAAAAATAGCTGGAGATCAGGATGGGCGCCTGGAGTCCCAGCTACTTGGGAGCCTGAGGCAAGAGGATTGCTTGAACCTGAAAGTTTGAGGCTGAGCTATGATGCCATGGCACTCCACCCAGGGTAACAGGAGAAAACTCTGTCTCAAGAATAAATGAGTAAATGAATAGAAAAAACCCAAACACAGATCCTGTGCCTCACTTGTCATTCCGCTCCAGAGCTGCTTTGGTGGCTCTCACGAGAGTCTGCAGCTCTTCCTGCACCTGCTCCACATCCTCCGACTTCGTGGTCCTGTTCCCCAGGCCTTCAGCTTCAGCCAGAAGAGTCTAGACAAGACCAGGCACAGGAAGGGTGAGACAGACACTCGGGCAAGGTGAGAGAACTTTCCCTTCTGTTATTAATATATGTTCCAGCTGCCCTGGGTTAAAACATACATTCTAGTAAACAGGTAAACTAGGAGGATTCTAGAGAGAGAGGGAGCCTGGGGGAGGGGTGGCTGAGCAGGGGACGCTCTAGGTCAGTGGTTCTCAACCTCAACCTAAATGCCACAGCCCTTTAATACAGTTCCTGTGGATTGTGACCCACAGGTTGAGACCCGCTACTCTAGGTGAAATATGTTTTTCACTATTTCTAGGAAATTTAAAAAATGGTGGGAAAGTTTTATTGTTGGTTTGTGTGGGAGGGAGACATACTGAATAAAGGGACATTATTATACGTCCATGAGAAATGCTGTCAGCAGAGTTAAGACCCATGACTATAAGGAAATGCTGTGCTCAACTACAGGGCAACTAAGACCTCTGGGCCCCAGGTGAGGGGCTGCCTGGAGCCACCCTGGCCTGGAAACGTTTATTCTACTATGTGACCAAGCTATGGAGCTATGGAAATATGTTACTTTTGAACTCAACCTCAGAAGGTCAGGAACAGGTAGTTCTCCCATTGGAGGCTTTGCTTGCTGCTATCAAAACAAAAGCTTATTTTTCTGCTCCACAAAAAGGCTCAGAATAAAGAAAATGATGCCCATGTATGATCCTGGGTTGAGAAGGTAAAACTGATCTTGTGATGCTGTGATTTTTTTTCATATATGAAGAAAGTATTTCTATTTTATAAGATAACATCTTTGAACTTCATTGAATTTAAAGTGCCAAATTCATCTTACCTACAGAGTTAGATTCTCCTAGTTTTTGTAACTGATAAAAAATTACTCCTCCTGCCCAAACTTACTAGAACAACGGCATGTTTAACACAGCCCTGGAGGGACACCCAGAAGACGCCCGCAGTAAAATGAAGAGATGGCGATTTATGCTGTGGTAATGACCGACGTAGCACTATTTATGCTCCCAATGCTGTGGTAATGACTGACGTAGCACTATTTATGCTCCCAATGCTG